GATGGAAAAATGATGGGAAAATGGGAAAAAATGATGGGAAAAAATGGGAAAATGATGGGAAAAGGGATGGGAAAAGGGATGGGAAAATGGAAAAAAATGGTGGAAAAATGATGGAAAAATGGGAAAAAATGATGGGAAAATGATGAAAAATGATGGAAAATGATGGAAAAACAGGGAAAAAATGATGGAAAAAATGATGGGAAAAAATGGGAAAATGATGGGAAAAAATGATGGAAAAATGATGGAAAAAAGGGGTGGGGAAATGATGGGGAAATTGCAGGAATATCCCAATAAAAAAGGGATTTGGGATGGGAATTTGGGATTTTTTTAATCTCCTTGTTTGATCCATGGAATTCCTGGGAATGGGAGAGGGAGGAGGGAAAAGGGACGGGAAAATGATGGGAAAAAATGATGGAAAAATAATGGGAAAAGCAAATGGGAAAAGAATGGGAAAAAATAATGGGAAAATGGTGGGAAAAGGGATGGGAAAATTACGGGAAAAAATGATGGGAAAATGGGGAAAAAATGGTGGGAAAATGGTGGAAAAATGATGGGAAAAAATGGTTGGGAAAATAGGAAAATGATGGGAAAATGATGGGAAAAAATGACGGGAAAATGGTGGGAAAAATTATAGGAAAAAAATGGGGAAATGATGGGAAATGATGGGAGAAATGATGGGAAAAATGATGGGAAATAAAGTTGGAAAAATGATGGGAAAATGGGAAAAAATGATGGGAAAATGATGGGAAAAAAGATGGGAAAATGATGGGAAAAAAATGGGAAAATCATGGGAAAAAATGATGGAAAAATGATGAAATATGATGGAAAAATGATGAAAAATGATGGAAAAAAATGATAGGAAAATGGGAAAAATGATGGGAAAAATGATGGGAAAATGATGGGAAATAAAGATGGAAAAATGATGGGAAAATGGAAAAAAATGATGGAAGAATTGATGGAAAAAAATGGGAAAATCATGGGAAAAAATGATGGAAAAATGGTGGAAAAATGGGAAAAAATGATGGGAAAATGGGGAGAAAATGATGGGAAAAATGATGGGAAAAAATGGGAAAATCATGGGAAAAAATGATGGAAAAATGGTGGGAAAAGGGGTGGGAAAAGGGAAAAAAATGGTGGAAAAATGATGGAAAAATGGGAAAAAATGATGGAAAAATGATGGGAAATAAAGATGGAAAAATGATGGAAAAATGATGGGAAAATGGGAAAAAAATGATGGGAAAATGGTGGGAAATTGTGGAAAAATGATGGGAAAAAAATGATGGGATGAATTATGGAAAAATGATGGGAAAATGGAAAAAAATTATGGAAAAAATGATGGGAAAAAATGATGGAAAAATTGCCAGAGTGTCCCCCCCCCAAAAAAAAAAAGGGGATTTGGGATGGGAATTTGGGATTTTTTTTAATCTCGTTTGATCCATGGAATTCCTGGGAATTCTTGGGAATGGGATTCCCATTTTCCCACAGAAAATTCTCGGTTTTCCGGGAGAAATTCCCATTTTCCCGAGAGAAATCCCTGATTTTCTGGGAGAAATTCCCAATTTTCCAGCAGGAAATTCCCAGTTTTCCAGAGAAATTCCCAATTTTCCGGGGAAAATTCCCGCTTTTCCAGGAGAAATTCCCAATTTTCTGCTGGACAAATTCCCATTTTCCCCTGGAAAATTCCCACTTTTCCCATTTTCCCGAGGAAATTCCCACTTTTCCGGGAGAAATCCCCATTTCCCAGGGAAAATTCCTGATTTTCTGGGAGAAATTCCCATTTTCCTGGAAGAAATTCCCAATTTTCTGCTGGACAAATCCCCGTTTTTCCCATTTTCCCCCAGAAAATTCCCACTTTTCCAAGATAAATCCGTGATTTTCCAGGAGAAATTCCCATTTTCCCCCAGAAAATTCCCAGTTTTCCAGCAGAAATTCCCATTTTTCCCGAGGAAATTCCCATTTTCCCACAGAAAATTCCCACTTTTCCCATTTTCCCGAGGAAATTCCCTGATTTTTCCGGGAGAAATTCCCTGATTTTCCAGGGAGAAATTCCCAGTTTTCCAGAGAAATTCCCATTTTCCCCCAGAAAATTCCCACTTTTCCAAGATAAATCCATGATTTCCCAGGAGAAATTCCCAGTTTCCCAGGAAAATTCCCATTTTCCAGAAGAAAATTCCCACTTTTCCCCGAGAAATTCCCTGATTTTCCAGGAGAAATTCCCAATTTTCTCTTGGACAAATCCCCATTTTCCCACAGAAAATTCCCATTTTCCCATTTTCCCGAGGAAATTCCCTGATTTTTCCAGGAGAAATTCCCATTTTCCTGAGGAAAATTCCCAGTTTTCCAGGAGAAATTCCCATTTTCCCACAGAAAATTCCCAGTTTTCCCATTTTCCCGAGGAAATTCCCTGATTTTTCCCGGGAGAAATTCCCAGTTTTCCAGGAGAAATTCCCATTTTCCCGAGGAAAATTCCCAGTTTTCCGGGAGAAATTCCCTGATTTTCCAGGAGAAATTCCCAATTTTCTCTTGGACAAATCCCCATTTTCCTGAGGAAAATTCCCAGTTTTCCCGAGGAAATTCCCATTTTCCCACAGAAAATTCCCACTTTTCCCATTTTCCCGAGGAAATTCCCTGATTTTTCCCGGGAGAAATTCCCTGATTTTCCAGGGAGAAATTCCCAGTTTTCCAGAGAAATTCCCATTTTCCCCCAGAAAATTCCCATTTTTCCCGAGGAAATTCCCAGTTTTCCAGAGAAATTCCCTGATTTTCCAGTAGAAATTCCCATTTTCCCATAGAAAATTCCCATTTTCCCACAGAAAATTCCCGCTTTTTCCAGGAAAATCTCTCCACATTTTATTTTCATCGAGCGACCAAAGGGGAAAACCAAAACCCCTGGGGAATTCCCGGGAATTGCGGGATTTTTCCCGGGATTTCAGCAGAAGACTTTCTCCAGGTAGGCGTTGAGGAAGATCCCGTGGGGATCCAGCTTTTCCCGGATGGCGCAGAATTTCGGGAATTCCGGGTACATCAGCTCCAGCTCCTTCCGGGTGCAGCTGTGAGCCTGCGGCGGGGAAAAAAAAATTCCAGGAGAATTCCCCGATTTTCCCAAAAGCTGGGAATTTTTTCCCATTTTTCCCATGTTTTTCTTATTTTAGGGATGTTTTACCCCGTGCCTCAGTTTCCCTCTGGAAAAATCCTTCCCGTTTTCCGGGATTTGGGATCGATTTCCTGTTAAAATTCCCAATTTTTCCCAAAATCTGGGATTTTTTTCCCATTTTTTCCTTATTTTAGGGATGTTTTTCCCGTGCCTCAGTTTCCCTCTGGAAAATCCCTCGCAATTCCCGGGATTTGGGATCGATTTCCATGGAAAAGTTCCCAATTTTTCCCAAAATCTGGGAATTTTTTTTCCCGTTTTTTTTTTTCTTATTTTTTAGGAATATTTTACCCCCGTGCCTCAGTTTCCCTCTGGAAATTTCCGTCCAATTCTCGGGATTTGGGATCGATTTCCTGTTAAGATTCCCGATTTTCCCAAAATCTGGGATTTTTTTCCCATTTTTTCCTTATTTTAGGGATGTTTTTCCCGTGCCTCAGTTTCCCTCTGGAAAATCCCTCCTCTTTTCCAGGATTTGGGATCGATTTCCTGTTAAAATTCCCAATTTTCCCAAAATCTGGGAATTTTCCCCATTTTTCCCATGTTTTTCTTATTTTAGGGATGTTTTTCCCGTGCCTCAGTTTCCCTCGGGAAATTTCCGTCCAATTCTCGGGATTTGGGATCGATTTCCTGTTAAGAGTCCCGATTTTTCCCAAAATCTGGGATTTTTTCCCATTTTTCCCATGTTTTTCTTATTTTAGGGATGTTTTACCCCCGTGCCTCAGTTTCCCTCTGGAAATTTCTGCCCAATTCCCGGGATTTGGGATCGATTTCCCGTTAAAATTCCCAATTTTCCCAAAATCTGGGAATGCTCAGGAGGGAATTTTTCCCATTTTTCCCTTATTTTAGGGATGTTTTTTCCCGTGCCTCAGTTTCCCTCGGGAAATTCCCTCCCAATTCCCGGGATTTGGGATCGATTTCCTGTTAAAATTCCCAATTTTCCCAAAATCTGGGATTTTTTCCCATTTTTCCCTTATTTTAGGGATGTTTTACCCCCGTGCCTCAATTTCCCTCTGGAAAATCCCTCCCAATTCCCGGGATTTGGGATCGATTTCCATCCAAAATTCCCAATTTTTCCCAAAATCTGGGATTTTTTCCCATTTTTTCCTTATTTTA